ACTAGAGGATAACTATTTAACATTTTACTACACTGCCCCAGTCTGGGTCATGATGACGGGACTTTCGATGACTGTTTGTGCCACAAAGAAACAGTTTACGTTTTGATGAAGCATACTGGATCTAGCTTAATTAAAGTCAAAATTTTATGATCGTTCATTGTGTAGTCAGATTCCAATAAATGATTGGCAAGTTTGGAGTGTGATCTTTACTCGTGCTAATATCACTGAGCCTTCATCTCATATTAAAGACACAATGCTCGAAATATAAGGAAAGGTATATAAAAAGTTATACTAGGAGTAGATAGACTTCACAATCTATGCAGGGACCAGAAGTGAGAATAGAGTTCAAATAAATTTTAAGAAAAAGATTAAAGAGGGATTTTAATAATTTAATTAAACAATAAATAAAAGAGAATAAGCATACGCAAATCTATTCTCTTAGAGAAAAAAAGTAATAAGGGAGGAAATTTTGATAATGAGATGTGATTGACTAGCAACAATATTTTGGGAAGCCTCAACAGGAAATTAGTGATGCACTAAAGTCTCAAGTTTTTTTTGAACGGGAAGATGGTTTGGCGCTAAAAGCATGAACAATTCTAATGACAGCTCTTCGAATATAGATTGTATCAGTATAAAGTTCCCATTGACAGGTATTTCGATATGTTGCCTTAGCAAGTGATGAAAAAAGAGGTGGGATAAGTAGACAATATATGATAAGGAAAGCATAATTACGCAGAATTTAGAAATAAAATAGTAAAAACGGAGAAGTATTTGAAAGAGATCAGTACAATGAGTATTATTGTACGTAGTGCAATCAAAGGCATATCAATATATGCGATTGTTTTATGTAGTGCAGATATAAAGCCAGATCAAATTTAATCTAGGGTAACTCAAAATAACACAACTGAAGCCTTCATCAGGGCAAAAAAAGAATATGGATCACATGAAGCAATTGCATTTGTGCAGTACAGTAATTCAGACCCAATTAAAAGTCTGGCGGACTAAAATGGCAAGGGTATACTTTATGTCGTTCAAAAATAAGGAATAACCAAAACAGTGCAGAAGATAGCATAAATTGGTAATGAGTTGCAAATGATACAGAATTAGTGACAAAATGGTGTTTATAAAAATGTAATAAATATGGATCTGTTGGAGGGATCCCTTCAGAAAATTCCTGAGATATGGGAGTAAAGCCCCTGTAAAAGGACACGTGGCTATACCTTTTAGCCAAGATATGCAAAAAAAATTCACAAAGCAAATGAAAGACGGGGGCAGGAAATAACGGCCAAATAACTAAATAAGCACAGGCAAGTATCATGATACAGCATAGCCATTGACTAAGAAGATAACCGCACTGCCTTTCATTCGGGTCAAAGGCCATCTGAATGCGGGGTTGACAAGTGGGGACAAGACAAATGGACGTGGGTTGCTGAAATGCATGAGTATATATAAACGAGTTCAAGCAGGCATTTATCGAAAGGGATGATGATGAACTCAATAAAAATTCCTATGAACAAATTAAGATAGGATTGAGCCACGTTATAGTAATAGTAGGCTTATTCAGATAAGATTGAGATGCATGTAAATCATAAAAGTTGATATTTTCGCAGGATGCTCAAACCGAATTTAATTTAAGACAAAAATGAAATACAATAGTCGTTTTTAATAACACCTGCCACCTGCAAAATAAGTTCCTGCAAGTAGATTCAAGGGTAAAAGAAATTATTGTAGTAGATACGAAGAGTAACTGGGTTTCGATTAATCTTCTGAGATAACATTGTTGGGGAGACTTTCATTTCATATGAAAATGCATGAAGAAGAGATTTGAAAATTGATCTCACCAAAAGAGGACGGCTGATTCCCATTATACTGCAGCCGTTTGCCTTTAATACTACGTTTAGGCTGGCGCAGACCTCGAGACCTCCCTCGTTTCGGACGAAAACGGACTAAGCTTTCGTCCATCAGCCGTCATCTTCTGGTGAAATCGACCTTCGATTCTCTTCTTCATGCAGTTTCCTACTAATGAAAGCCTCTCCAACGATTGCGATGGAAAAGTGCCCAAGAGAAATTTTTTTATTTTATTAAAAGTGAAGGTTATGATTGCTTCTGGGATATTTTCAAAAATAAAACTACAATAAATATTAATAAAAATTAACTATACAGATAGTGAATAAATGATGAATATTTAAATGGCTAAGAGAAATATAGTGAACAAGCTATTGGTCCATTAGGTAAAACTTCGGTTAAATAAAAGCTCTAATTTTATAGTTTTAAATTAAAAATGACGATGGAAGGAACAAATATTAAATGCAAAAATAATAATTAATATATCAAGGTTAACGGTAATCAATCGGGAGCAGAGAAATGTGTTACGACTAATGGACGTTTAAATTAAGAATTACTGGAAATTGATAGTTGAGGTGCATTTAATCTTAGCTTCTATAGAGCTAATTTTGAGTATATTTTATAGCACTTTTCGTCTGTTTGATGCGTAGATAGGTTTGAACAAGAAGTTTAATCATTCTTAAGCATCTTTAATTAAACTTTTGCAAACAGATTGAAACATTACAATGTATACATACGAGATTAATAATAATAAAAGAATACCAATCTCGAAGCATCTTGTAATAGTGGAAAAATGTCGGCTATATATAAAGAAAGATAACTCACTCAAATAATAATTCTCAAAATTGTCAAGGCCAAATTGTGAACTAGCGAGCAGTGCGCAGGAGTAATCATCTTCAAACGGCATCAGGCCCCATTCATTGCCGACCATGAGTAGTTAACAAGTTGGGTCTTAGGCCTAACTTGTTTTGAGACAAGCATCTAATAAGGCAGATGAGGATACACACGGTTCATCCGTGGGCTCTGTAATTACACATCTGCCTGTAGAAGAGGCCTGACCTACCGTTTCTGAAAGGAGGCGAGCTGCATCCGGATGCCTGGTAGAGTCAAGAATGCCTGGTGAAGTGGAATAAGGGCTCGAGATGGCCGTGGTACTGGAGCTGGTGGTGTTAGTGGAGCCAGAAATGATGGAGAAGGACGAATTAGGAGTGGTCTCTTCGATACGCAAGGTCGAAAAAAGGGATGATGAATGGGACAGAGCAGCCATCCCAACATTTTCTTTGAAGTCATCATCAGTTCGTATCAGCTCGGTGCTGGTATCCGATAGTGAAAGCTGATCCATATCAACTAGCTCAAAATCACTTGCCCTGAAAGGGCTGCTATATATATGAAGAGACAGAAATAAAAAATATATATTAGTGGAAAGGAGGCTGCATCGGATGTGTATTATTCGCTTATTTGCAGATAAAATTCATGGTGAAAAGAATGGCATGATCAGGAAGTTTTGAGCACTCGGAATACTTGGCATTATAAAATTAAAAAAAACTATACCTAAAGTTAGGCAGAAATTAGTATGTGAAACTACTGAACTTCTCCCTATATCCTAACAAAAGGGAGATTAAAGGCTAATGTAGTTAGAATCATAAGGCAAGATCTGGTAATTTGTTTAGAAAAGCAAATCATCTGAGGATCGAGGAGGACCAGACAAAATATTCCGGTTCTTTCTTTTAATTCTAAATTAATAAATAAAAATAAGTATATATACTAAGTCAAGCTCATTAAGGCTATCGGTTCACTAGGATTTTACATAATAAAAGATAAACAAGCAATGATATGAAATAGATATATAAATAACATCTAAGATTGTGGATGTTCTGGTGAGAATTTTTAAACATTAAATTCGAACTTGTTTTCGCAACATGGTCATATTGGTAGGAAGACTAATTGGAACGCACCTAGTCCGGGGTCCATT